ATATATATATAGTAGATATTTAAAGACATCTTTCTCTTACTGCCAGAACTATCTCCTCAAAGCATTTTCAGGTATGGTGGGAAAACATTTATTGCCCAAGTCCTAGGGTCAGCAAAAGGTTTCCAGTTCAACCCGATTCTCGAAGCCCCATGGGTTGACAGAACAAGAGCTGCTCTCGCTTCCAGTCCTCAGTCTGGTCCCGACACGGCGACGTGCGTGGTCCTGGTCTGGCCCCACTGGTTTCCTTTTGGTTTAACCAAAGCCTGCACAAGCACCTGCTTTCATAAGGAAAGGCTGACACTGCTGTGTAAAGAATCGACCTCTTGGGCCAAACGAGCGGCTTGACACAACTGAGATGAGTTAAGGTGCCGGCCAGAGAAATCATGGACCAAAAGAAAAAAAAAAGGACTTTTCTGGGTTGTGCATCCCTCGGATAGCACCGCTGGCAACAAAAATGAGCACTGAAGGCGCCGTTTTCCTCCCCTAAGGACGCTGCCCTGGTTGTTCAGGCCTCCTCTGGCCAATCTTTCTTTGTTAGGGGGAGTGCTTCCCCCCAGATCGTCTCCATGGATTTGGTTTCTTTACGACCTCCAGCATGGCATGAATTTCCTCTGCCTCTTCCACCCCTCCACCCCCGCAGGTCACCTGCGGCATAAGCGAAAAGTGTCGCTGCAGCGACAGGGGAAGCTGCAATGGGTAGAAACGTATAACATGGGAAGGGAGGGCTGAGTTAGGAAAAGCAAATATATTTATCCAGAAACGGGGTTTCTCACTGAAATGCGTAACTCAACATGCTGATCCATGCTTTTTGTTTGCTTCCTTTTTCTTTTCTTCCAACATGACAGTCAAGCAATTTTTAAATTGACGTAGGAGCTCAGAATCGCAGCCTGGTTAAGTGAGCCGATGGGGTTTTTTTCCTTTCCTGTATTTTTTATGCCAGAGTTGTGCACGTGAAGGATATCTGGTCAGCCACACTTTTGCTTAAAATCTCGACCCTCCATAAAAACTACTAAATTCTGCATCACGTGCTCTTACATCCACTAGCTTAGTCATTCAAGGGATAAGCGAGCCCAGCAGACGCAGCTTTCAGTTCGCATTCATCAGGGTAGTTCAACTTGTGGAGAGACCGTAATCAGACAAAGATAAAACTGCCTTGCAATAACATCAGCAAAGGAGTTGAAGCTAATGTTTCTACCATACCTTTGAATTAATTTGATCCAACTGTTGACTAAAATTAAAAAGGAAAACTGTTCAAAAAAGAATCCTTTAAACACATTAGCACAGTCAGAGTACAAATTACAGTAGTTTAAAAAAAAATAAAATGAAAAGGTCTTGGGCATTTATATTTGGACAGGCGTTTAAAGTACTGATGGTATTAAAAAAAATATTCATTACATTTTACTCATAATTGTCTCAAATCCTTGAATCAGATTGTAAAAGGTTGTCCGTTCGTCATGCTTCAATATCCAGCACTTCCTCATCAGCTGATCCACCTGACAACAACAACAACAAAAAAAGGGGAATTTTTAAAGGGTGAGCAAACCCCACAGCCTGCTTCACCTCTAAACTGCAACCACCCCCAAACTGCACCAGCTGCACCTGGCTCAGGCGACCGAGTGGGGTTGCTGCACACCCAGGAACTCTGCCTTTCCAGAATCAGAAGGATCCTGAAGGAATTTTACATGGATCCAGATCCCGAAGGAAAGATCTTAACCGCTCTGAAAGCAACTCACAATCTTGGGAACCTCAGTGTCAAAAACCATTTTAAAACAACACTTAAAAAACCATGGAGATGCCTTTCTGATGGCAAACCTCAAGGGTTTCCTACCGAGAGTGGCCAGGCCCACTGAAGCACGAAGGCGTGGGGCTTTTGCCACTGATCTAGTGCCAGAGGGCAGCACCGTTAGCCGAGCGCGGGCACATCCCTCACCTCCTCCGGGCAGTTGGGAGGGCGAGGCAAACGCTTTTCTTCTTGCAAGACGCGCACCAGCCGCGCCACCGTCATCTGTCCCTGCGTGGGGCCGATCATCTTCAAGAACTCCTGGGGAAAGAGCAGGAGTCAGCTCCGCGCATCCCCTCGCCCCACAAAAAGCCAAGCCCCTTTGAGCCGACATTAAGAAGATGCTGGAATCTCAAGAAGCAGCTGCTCGTCGTACGGATACCGCACGCTCACATTTAACATTTTATAAATACAGTTTTCTAACCAGGACGTGCAGTCACCACAACTTATCTCTGCCCAGGGTTTTTTGTGAAAGACAACCGTGAGGGTTGCTTTCACCAGGTGAAGGGATTTTATTGCGCTTCATGTTTCCAAAAATTATAATTAAAAAAAAATTAACTAAATCTGATTTCAGCAGCTTTAGCAGCAATTTCTTTCACAGTCACTTACTGCCATGGGGCTGGACTCAGAATCACAGTAGGTGAGCAGCTCGTACAGCGTCACCCCAAACGACCAGACATCCGAGGCGATGTAAAATTTACTCTGGAGCAAGCACTCTGGAGCATACCTGCGGACACAGCATGAGAGAGTTAAACTTTATTCAGGGCTGCACAGATGTACCCCATACATGCATGACCAACGTGCACTTAAAGTCAACTCAAGAGCTACGTTCTGCAGTTGCAGAGCCCTTCTACATCAATTCACGTGCCCACAGGGCTCGGGACGTCAACTGGAGGAGTGAACAAGGTAGAGCAAGTACAAAAAGGAACAGCAAGTCACTGCAAAACTTGAGGAGACTAAAAACAAAACTGGAAAAGCAGATCGTTAAGTGCAGGAAGAAAGGAACGGCACAACAGGAGGTAAGGAGGCTCTACCAGGCGCCTCTCCCTTGCTCTGATGTTGTATCTTCATTTAGAGCTCTTAGCAAACCGGGAAACATCTTAAGGGTGCCTGAAAACCTACATCTGTGGGAGCAGGCAAGTTACTCCACTGTGTAGTCAGGTTAAAGAAAATGAGTTCTAAGTTACTACCAAAACACAGGGCTGTCCAGGTCGTCTTTGACGGTGTAGTACTCCTTGTCGGTCTCGATTGCTTTGGTGAGACCAAAGTCTCCGATCTTCACTCTGTTCTCGCTTTCAACGAGGACATTTCTCGCTGCCAGGTCGCGGTGCACGTACTGACAGGAGCCCAGGTAGTCCATGCCCTAGGAGAGAAGAAAGCCCTTTACGCCACGTTCCCCAATACTCCCGTCACCGGTTTTCTCCAACTTCCACTTCGAATGCTCCCTTGCTCTACCCGCGTTTCCCACAGTGGGTTCTCCGTCTGTTGGCACTTTCCAAGGTCCTTTTCTGACACCCTCCCCCCTTGAACTCAGCCCTTGGGATCCTCATCTGCTGAGAACGCTGTTTCTGCTTCGCACTTTTTAATTTTCAGCTGAGCAGCCACCATCTCCATTCCCTTCTCTACGCTGCTTAAAACTGCCCCGTGCACCATAATCAAAAGAAGAGTCTCGTGCAGAAAGCACGCTGCCTCACTACACCTGCGTCTCCTCCTCTTTTAGACTTGCATGTTGCTCCTTCCCTCTTGTCAACACACCCTTCCTGAACGCTTCCCTCCTTCCTAAATACCTCCAGTCCCGCAGTAGGAACAAATTCTTCCTGTAGTAAATTTTTAACAAAGAGAACGTGCCTCCCCCTTGCTGATATCAGTGCCAGCAGCACCTGAAGCATGGGAGAGGCTGCTTTAGGGTTTGGAGCCTCGGGGACAAACTAGATTAAATTAAAATATTAAAGTAATCAAAGAGCAGAGCTGCAGGAAGGCTCTGATGCCAGGCTCACCTTGCAGATCTGAACCGCATATCTGAGAAGCTGTTTGAGATTGATTTTGTTCTTGTTCCGGGGGAGATACTCCTTTAGGCTCCCAGAAGGAAGGAATTCCATGATGAGTTTAATCCCACTTCCTCCTAAAAATGGAGCAGCATGTTTAACTGGCAGACACGTGAACCTTCTCATGTCGTTAACGTCAATAACTTTTGTACAAGCCCACAGCATCAGTCCCTGAACCAGTCCAGAGGATGATCTAGTTCAGGCCGGGCAGTAACTGAACTTACAGGTCTTCCAAGTTTTTTAATACACCCCAGCCTGCCCGGGGGCTCAGGTTTTTAACGGATTTGGTGAGAAGAGCAACCACGTTGCTCAGGTGTAAGCTGCCCAAGCACAAAAAAGGGCAGGAGGAGGACTTCAGACAAAAATTGCTGCTTTTTCTGTGAAGAAAGAGATCTAAACCCCTAACACTGAGCTAAGACTGTTTTGCTTTTCAAAGTGGTTTGTTTGTAGAGGAAAACCCTTACAGTTCTAGTGTGTACTTTTAATAATCTAGATAAGGATTTACCATCTTCTGTGCAAATTCCCTTGTATTTCACAATGTTCTCATGGTAAAGATTCCTCAAGATTTCTATTTCCTTCTTGAGATCAGCGATGTGATTCCCTCCGCTCTCTGGCTTTAGAGATTTAACTGCCACTTGCTCCCCTGTATTGTCGCCTTCTGGGTCGTACCTGCAGAGTTCCACCTTGCCAAAGTGGCCCTGATTGCAGAAGACAAAGAAAAAAGGCCATTACTGACCACAGCACATGCACTCCAGTGTCCCCGAGGCATTAGATGTTTTATTTAGGATTCGTATCGTCCTTTTGTGACACAGAAAGCATACACAGAGCTCTGCACACACACACACACAAACACTCTGTGCCCAACACAGAATCATGGAATGGTTTGGGTTGGAAAGGACCTCAAAGATCATCTCGTTCCAACCTCCTGCCCTGGCAGGGACATCCCCCACTAGATCAGGCTGCCCAGAGCCCCATCCAGCCCGGCCTTAACAACTCCCAGGGATGGGGCTGCCACCCCCTCTCTGGGCAACCTGTGCCAGGGTCTCACCACCCTCATGGGGAAGAACTTCTTCCTCACGTCCAACCTGAACCGACCCATCTCCAGCTTCAATCCATTCCCTCTAGTCCTGTCACTGCCCGACATCCTAACAAGCCCCTCCCCAGCTTTCCTGTAGCCCCCTTGAGATACTGGAAGGCCACAATAAGGTCTCCCTTAATAAGGACATCCCTCTTACCTCTCCCAAATCACGGATTCTTTTCAAGAATCGTTTCTCGAATAGAGTGGGATCGACTTCTGTAACTGGCTTCTTCTCCGAGACGATGTCAGGATCTAAGGAGTGAAAAAACATCCCAGGTCAGACAGGTTCCTGCATCTTGGCGCTTCAAGGCATCCTTGCTCGCTGCCAACCTGCCGCTGTTAGAGCGCGTCTGTCCCTACTGTCACAACTTGCCTTATTTAAATCCTGCCCACTTTTTGGCAGGGAACAACTTCCCTTTGTATGCGCCCATCTATCACTCACTGATCTTCCTCCCTCATTTTGGAGGTTGCTAGCCGGGTCTTCTCCTGGACCAATTCAGTTTTCTCTCTGTACACTTCCCACCCTGTAGTAGTTACTCATCTTGCATGATTATTTATTAATAGGTAAGGGATGAAAAGCTTTGCTCTTCCTGATTGTCTGATAGTTGCCCTGTACTATCTTCAGCATAAGATGAACCAGGGAGCAGAGCTATCCGTGTTAATACTCCGCTGCAGTCAAGAGAGTCCTCTGGAAACCCCACGGAGCATAAAGACCTTCCTGAAACTAACTTAAGCTGTCATATGAAACAGGGACCACTGAATGGAACTGCAGAAACACTTAACCCAACTCGAGCCATGCGCTCAGCACGAATTAACCGCTCACATCCTATTTGAATCTAGAGAAGGGGTTGTTGTAGGGACACAACGCGCTCCTGGCAATACAACCGTTCACGCAGTTGCATGGCACCCGACGTGGCCAAATCCATCAGCCTGCTTCATTCCCCCGCTCCAGGAGCCAAGCAAAGCCGTGCGGCCTTACTTTGTTCTTCCAGCCTGTTGATGTCTCTCATGATCGCTCTGAAGAAGGGTCTCTGGTGGGGGTCGTAGTTCATGCACTGCTTCATCAAGTCAGCCAGCTCCTTGCACGATGGCGTCGTCAACACGAAACGCCCCTCGTAGAACCGCTCCTTCTGCAAGGCGCGAACGGAAAACTCCGGCATGAATTTTAGCTTTTCATTTAATAAACCCACATTCTACTCAGCACACGTGGCCTTAACTCACTGTGAACTTTTACTTCGCCAAGGAAATCCTCATTTCCAACAGTAACTCTAAAGCATCTCCTACCAGCAGAGATGCTGAATCTGGTGCTGAATTTGGCACGGCTTGAAGCAACTGCTTAAAAACCACAAAGTTTCTAAAACGTGCTGCAGAATTCACCTTTCAGAAGTTATTTTTCTGCCACGTTATTTATGCACAGGGGCAAACGACTGAGTGGAAACGCTCGCCAAGGGAACCACGCAACACTGGCTGCCCCTCACAGCCCCCGAGAATCACAGCATCACAGAGCATTGGGGTTTGGAAGGAAGGGCCCCAAAAAGATCATCTAGTCCAACCCTTCTGCCAAAGCAGGATCACCAGCATCGGGGCAGATGGGATGAGGGTGGGCTCGTGCATTTTCTGAGCCCTGTGGCTGCCACCCGCAGGAAGCGGACTGCGGCCAGGGCAGCAAGTTCCTTTCAGCTGCCTCCTGTTAAAACAACTCAGGCCGCGACTCAAGTCCTTGGTCCTTTCCTTCACACAGCCGCTGCCTTGCTCTATTGCCTTCCTGACGCAGCGAAACTTCAAAAAAAGCACATTTGGAGCAGATGCTGAGAGACTCCAGCAGTGACAAACTGCCAGCACTAAGGCAGAACAAGATTTATTTAAATTTGTTTTTTCCTATAACATTTCAGCATAAACAATAACGGTGTCTCACAGGAGACTAATTCTGAACTGATGTCCAAAAGAAACGAGCAAGAACAGAAGAACTTAGCGGCTTTTAAGCAGAGATGTCAAGGTAAAGATTAAGTAACACGGTTTTACCTCTGCTAACGTCTTGTCTTTCAGGGGTGTTTCTCCATTATAGCAGATTTCCCACAGCGTTGTACCAAAACTCCACTTATCTGCTGCAATGCTTAAATTTTTGGAATCTTCAACGCATTCAGGTGCAATCCAAGGGATTCGCTCGACACGTTCTTAGATAAAACAAAGAATCAAGGCATTCTGGAGTTAAAGGACCAAAAAACTAACCTTCTAACTTAATTACTCTTGTCTAACAGCTGCTTAACTAAAATAAACTGAAACTGCTTATTCAGTATCAGGGAAATCTGGGTTCTTAGATCCCTGTTTCTCAGAAGCATGTTTCTGTGGCTTTTACAAGCTTGTGCCTTGAACCACCCAGAAACTGAGATTAGTTCTACGTCATCTCCCTGGACTTTTTAAGAGACGTGACTATGGTAAGTGCCCACCACCAGCAACACTCCTTCACTTCTGTGCAGTTTTCAGATTCAGGAAAGCCAATTATTTTTATTCCAGAGCCAGTTCTAGCTGGTATAAAACACTATTTCTTCCTTTCCCTTTCCCCAGAAGAGAGAAATGTGACGCTGGTACCGTACCTTGCGGGGACAGTACGGTTATCGGGATTCCTGGGTCGCTCAGCTTTATGAAAGGACCGTACTCTGTGTCGATTCCCTCTCGAGCCAGCAGGATGTTTTTAGTGCACACATTTCCATGTACCAAATCCTTATCCTCCTGCAGGAAGGGAGGAAAAAGTAGTGAGTGCAGGGAGCTCGCAGTGCTCTGCAAGTGCTCTGACGTACCTAGAGGTATCACTGTACAGCGATCGCTACAGGGGATCGCTGTAAAATACTTGAAGCTGAAATCCAAACATGCAGCTTGGACAAAATTATCCTAGAGAAAAAATAACAGGAGTAGGGAAACACCATTCACACTAAAACATTTGCATCTGCAGAGCCTTTGGAAAAAAGACCAGCTTACTCCTTTTTCGCAAAGAGCACAATTACAGGCACTTACAGAACCTGGTGGCAAACACAAGTACAGGGGCTGTTTGGCCCAGCTCATCGTCTTCTCTGAGAGTCTTTCTCCTTCTTTAAAGCAACTCAATGGATACAAAAAGTACAGCCCATGCACCGTGCAGTGCCACTACCCGAGAAAAGGAATTCATTAGTTACTAATGCCCACGAAACCTCCGTGGGGTTAAGATCTACAGCAGCTACAGGCAATGCTTTTGTCAAGGCGCCTTCTTACCAAGTAGCTTAGCGCACTCGCGAGCTGCTTGGCAACCTTGAATTTCCAAGGAGTTGTCAGAACTTCGCTTTTCCGATGCATAAACAGATCCAGAGGCCCAAATTCAACAAATTCTTCCACCATGATATCTGCAAAGTCAGACACATCAAGTCAGCACTACGATAACCAGTGCCTGGAGTAACCCGACAGGGCCGCAACCATCTTTCCTCCCACTCCAGGCGAGGTGGCTACAACACGTTTTTATTTCACCTTCCTCAAAGTTTATTTCATCACTTCAGAGTTCAAATTAAAAGGCTGAGAAGAGAGGCTTTGTGTAGTAAACCTGGGACAAAGCGTATCAGAGACCACAGGTCAGAGCCTGCCTAGGGAAAGCCCTCCTGCGTTGCTTTGACACCACCACCCCCACTCCGGCACCTCGACCTCAAGGCATCATCCTGTGAGGCACTTACACAAACACAGCGTCAGGAGAGGAAACCTGTCAGTGGGAAGGACTTAGCAGCTGCCTTGCTGGTGCAATTCTACTTGTGTGCACTGAAAAATCGAGGGGCAGCAGCTGCCAAGCCCATCTGCCCCCTCCCCGACCAGCCGTCCCTTCCCCACCACGCGAGTGTCCCGCCCGGACTCACTTTCAACGTCGCGGACGCAGACTCCGTGGAGGAGGACGATGTGCTTGTGCGACACCTGCCTCATCATGCTTGCTGTTTCAAAGAACGCCTGTTAGAAAGTGAAAGAGGGCAGCCATCAAACCGCTGGTTGTTGCAGTGGTCGCTCAAGTGTTCTAACAAATACAGAGCATCAGGTAGCCAAAAAAAAATTGCACAAGATGTTTTTTTTCCCAGTGACATAAAGGGGCAGAATGGTAGGCATGTGGGAAGGGGGTGGAGGAGTGCTGTCGGAGATGTTCACAAGGTGATTCTCCCATTCCCTCACTACACAACCATCCTTTTTAAGGCTTTTCATAGTTACCCAGGTACGACACGGGGAGGTCCCGCATTTGTAGCTCGAAAGACAAAAAAGGAAGAACTTGCCAAAGAAATGTGTCTGTGGCTGGGGTCCAAGACTTTGAGGAGGACCTTAATCTCCTTTTCGTTTTGATATCCTTCGTTCTCATCATCTTTGTAGTTGAGAATCCCCGAGTAAATCTGTGTTCTCGTCCCTCTTCCAAGATGTTCACCCTAAGATGTAACACACGGGATATTTTTCAAATCAGGACGTGAAGCAAACAAGTGTGGATTTACACAAATACTTGAATCTGCCCTGCACTCCGCCTCTCCAAGGAGTGTGTGGACTCAGTTGTCCACTTGATCTAGGTACGTAACAGCCTTAAAATTATTACAGTGAGAAACCAGTTATTAAAGAGAGAAATCACAGCATGTGGTTCTTTGCCTCAGCGGTCTCTCCAAGCATGCTCATCACTGTAAACTCATCCAATATTCGAGAGTTATCACATCTCCGTTCATGTCCAACAGGCTTCGTGTGATTTAGACATTATTAGACTAAACACCAAATGAATAAATAATAACCAGCCTCTTATTTACAACAAGCAGCTATTGAGGCAATCTTTAATGTGTTTCCAAAAGTTAGAGGAAGTAATATTTCAATGGAACACTTTGTTTGGGAAAGCAATTTCCTCCTGAACAACACAGAATTCCGCCTTGGGGTATTTTTTTGCAGGAAGCCTGCATGCTGATTGCAACTACACCAATCAAAAAACAATTAATGTAATCTAGATCTGGCCTCACCAGTCAGTAATGCAATTTACAAAAAGAAAAAAAAAACACCCAAACAAACAACAAACTTCTCATTTAAGTGAAGAAGCTAACTGCACGACTTAAGAGCTCAGGTCTTTCAGAAACATGGAACGTGATTTAGGCATTCAAGCCACTGTGTGTTTTTAGAAGTTTATTCAGGTCGCCTACATCACAAGCTGCAAGCAATTGCCAGGAAAATTGGGTGCTAAATCAGTTTTGAACACAAAACTTTGAATGCTTAGAGTCTTCAGAGCTTTTGAATAATTCACACTTTTTTTTTTCAACTGAGGATATTATCTTAAACCTCAAGTTGCCTGTTTCTCTACGCCAGTCTTTAAAAGACGGAGCCACATTCACAGAATCATTAAGGTTGGAAAAGACCTCTAAGATCACTTCATCCAACCATCAACCCAGCATCCCCACGACCACTAAACTGTGTCCCCAGGTGCCACGTCTACACGTTTTTTGAACACCTCCAGGGATGGGGACTCCACCCCTGCCAAGGGCAGCCTGTGCCAGGGCCTCTCCGCTCCTTCAGTAAAGAGATTTTTCCTAATATCCAACGTAAATCTCCCCTGGCACAACTTGAGCCCCTTTCCTCTCATCCTAATTCAGCAACAAACCAGCTAGGAAAAACAGCTCTTAAAAGAGTTTCATGATTTTTTTAGGAGTGACCTTAGAAGCATCTCTTTCCAGAGACACTGGAGAAGTGCTCAAATACCAATTTGACTTCTAGCAAAAGGCAAGACTCCCAAGCCTGTGAAGCAGGTGCCCACCTGCATGATTTCTTCTTTGAGGATCCGATGGAAACTCAGCTGCCCCAGGTGATAAACCGGCTGCCATTCCTGCGCCTTCTTGGTTGCAACCAGCAAGTTGGAGATTTCTGGAAGGGAGGGAGAGAAAACGTTCTTTAAGGTTTTTCAAAGATAACGGCCCTCACCCTCGCCAGTCGGTAACATTGCTGTATGTGCTCTCTGCAAGGTAAATCCCCAAAGGAACGAGGAGGAGGGAGAAAAGCAGAAATTTTGACTTAATTTCTGCTCAAGTAACTTCTATGCCATCATGCAACACTAAAGCAGAGCAACGTATTTTATATATTATATATATGACATTAATATTAGCCATGTCGGGGCTGATATTAAGAATCTGGGTAGTGTTTGCTGCACAGGGACTAGAAGAGGCAAAACGCCTGCTGTACCTACAATATTTATCACGACAGGATAGGTCTGGATGTCTGTGTGCATCTGGCCTTCCCATTACCACGAGCACAACACAAGTGTCGGGGCTAAACCCTGCTCTAGCCCTCTGAAAGCCATCGGTAGCGAACCCTACACTCCAAAAACTGATTTATTCCTGCATCCCCTACACCTCTTTGTGAGCAACCAGATAAACAGACAGATTCAAAAGGAATAAAAAAAAAAAAGCAAGGAAGAGAGGGAACAGCATAGCTAATGCGCTGATCTCCTGGTAACTGATGCCAGCAAAAAGCTGAAGTGGGCAGTCAGCTCCTTGACCCATTTGCTTTTATTCCAAATATCACTGTCAAAATGTAATCAAAATGCCAAAATGTACAATCTCTCCATGCTCCAGACAATTACCAATGTTCTTCAGAGCGCTCATAAGCTCTATGTCTACAGAGTACTCTAAACCCGTCAGACTGAGCAGGTAATTAATGTAGCTCAGTTATTCCCCTGATTCTAACAGGAAACCATTATCTGAGCAACACAGCCAGGCTGCTGTGTTTCCTCTCTCACACAAAATTTGGCTACAACACACTCGTAGTTCATAGCAATCAATTTTACTAAGTGTTGGCATTAACAGCCTGACAAACAGCCGATTGTCCCAGCCCTCTAAATCCTGCCCTCACCGAGGCTGCTTCTCCTTGCTCACAGTTGCAGACCAAGATTTCCTGCTGCTTCAGGAAGATCAACAGAGCAAACAGCAGCTCAGGACGAGGGCAAACAAGCTTCAAACCAAAGGCTGCCACACAGCCTCTGCAGGTTGCAACCCTGCTTCACCAGAGGAACGTGCCACGCGGCGGCACTGCCCAGGGTGCGCAACTCAGTGGAGCAAGGGAAGAACTTTACGTGGTCCCCGCTGTGCGGCAGCATTTGAGCCCGTGGCTGAGTCAGCTGTGACATTTTAAACAACTCTAGAGTCCCACCTCGGCTGTCGGTACCACAGAGCCAGCTGCGTGAAGTGCAAAACGGGACACCAGAACTTTTCTCACAGTCATTTGAAACGTCGACAGAAGCAACGCTCAAGAGAAGCCCCTGAGCTGAGCGTGTTGCACTGAAAGGAAAACCCTAAAACCTCGTTCGGGGAGCCTGTTTTGGCTTTTTGACAAGACTCCTCCTCCAAAGCGAACAAAGAAATGTACGGTTTTTTAACGACAAAAGAGCTTCATGCAAGAATACAGAACAAACTAAAGGCACTAAGAACACCTCCTGTCTCTGGAGTTTGCTCCCTTTCAACAATGTTTGTTGCCTCTCTTAAAGGACAGGCTACCTCTTGGTTTCGGTTGGCAGCACCTCTTCAGCGTAAAGCTTATGTTGTCTGTCCGAAGTATTTGTCCTTTCAGGTGATCCATCAGCTCTTTTAAGGATGAGAAAGACTTGTTTGAACCATGGAGGAAGTACCCGCCTTTCTTCACCTCAATCTGGAAGTTCTTGTACTGGATTGAATTATTTATCGTCTGCTATTAGAGAAGGGGAGGGGTGAAAGCAAAATATAATCATCAAAGAATGTTTTACAGCCGTGAAAGTTCCCCCTAAAGCCTTTAAAATTACATGTAGGACCAGTTAACCACTTGCTCCTAAGCTAGGGTCCTCTAAGCAAACTCCAGCAAAGTAGAGAAATGCCCTGAAATTCCTAAACCCTTCAGTCCCAGGAAGGCTCATACAGAGCAGCCACCACCACCACAAAGATGCAATTATCTAACGATCCCAAATACGGCTTCTGTGTTTTGCAGAGCCTGGGAGTACGCAGAAGCCGACTCTTTAGAAGGAATTTTCTCTCGGTTTGGTTGCAAATTGCAAAATCCAGACCGCAGTTTCAAAATCTCATCTTAAAAATAGAAAAACTGCCTTTCACAACCCAGATTGTTCATCGAGCGAAACAAGATTTCAGTCTGCTGTTCCAGCCTTCCCATCTCATTTAAACACGTTGAGGAAGAAAGGCTCAACGTCTGTACTCGCCGACCCCAAGCCCACACCCTTTCGAGTTCTACCCTTCCGCCTGCTTCCTCATCTCCACCAGGCTGCAGCTCCGCATCACCTCTCTCTTCCCTCTCTAAGCCTCGCAGTGAGGTTGAATATTTGCAAGACAAAATTAAATTTCTTGTTTCAGTGCCCTGTCTGTCACAAGATCATATATCGATCACAGATTTTTATTTTTGCAAATGTCTACAGAAGGTGACTGCTATTTCCATGAGGTTTTTGCCATCATTTTGTGGTTTCTTGTTTCAAATGCCTCTTCTTGGGAGGTTGGATTAGATGATCTCTAAGGTCCCTTCCAGCCTTGGCCATTCTATGATTCTTGACCTCATCATTGATTCTAATAACTTTTTTTCCTAAGAGAGGGAAAACAGTTTGGGTGCCTTTCACGCTTTTAGCAATCTTGTCCAAATGCTTTAATTACCTTCCCTACAACTAGCAAGTCCAACTGAGGTCAGTAAAATTCAAACTTCCATGAAGTTCAGAGAATCACAGAATCCTGTGAACTGCACGGAAAATGAACTCAAGATAGTGGGATCTGCAAGGAAAAATAAGAAACTCTGTGATTCTGTGAACTGCGCCGAAGTTTGATTCATTCTTCTGACTGGTTCTCTCACCTATCCCACCTTACGAGCTTTTATTTATCACTCATTTTTTCACAAAAAAAATATTCCAGCAGCTAATTATGTGTATGTCCCCCTCTGTAGGGCTCATGTAAAGGCAAGTGTCCTCGTACACAACTTTGACACCATGCCAGTAGAAATAGATTCATAGAATTAAATCCCCACTCAAGACACGTGAGGTGAGTTGCAGTGACAAATCCTTCCTGTCATTCACACACTGTTTGGGTTTAAAAAGCTTAATTTCCATCATGCTCACGCCCTGTTTTTCTGGACATGTTCTGTAACGCGTGATATTTGTAGATACAGCATAGGGTAGAGAAAATGAAGCTGGGAGTACAATTGTCCACCCTCTGCTGCATCAGCTACCCAACCAAGATAAGTGTCTGCCTTAAAAAATACAAATATATCGCCGGGGATTACAGGGAGCTGCTGGTTTAGCTCATTATTGGATTTCTCGTCACCCTTGACGTACCTCTGGGCCTTCAAAACAAGTCACTGTCATGAGGATGTGGTTAAAGTTCGTGCAGCTCCATCTCAGCACGTACATTCCCGCTTCGTTCCCCTCCTGCCGCAGTTTGTTGATGGCGTATTCCGTGCTGAAAGAGCCAAGGCACAAAACCGATTAGAAGGGAACAGGCACGGGAGCAATTCTACATGTGGAATTAAAATGTCTATCATCATCTCAGGAACACTCAGGTATTTATGAAAACAGGACTTAGTTTCATGTGCATTACACGCACTCACATTTAACTGCAGGAGAGTAAGGGAAGAAAAGTTCTATGAAGTTCTTAGTGTGCTTAATTTGATCAATTCTGCATCCAACACAGTGCGCACGTAAGCTCTCAGTTTCCTATATATTGCTCTCCGTTTCCTATATATTGCATCTTCACACATAAAAGGAAAAGCCAAAAAGATGGGCAGAAGGAAAAATAATGCCTCTATTTTTGTAAAAAAAGGTTTTGTGCTTCCATCCAAGGACTCCCAGGGTCAGCGTAGACAGAGTTCAACTTTATTTACCCAAAATATTCCCGCCTGTCCAACTGACAATGATCTTTATTAGTGAAGCAAGCCTGAGAATACCCCAGTTGTAAGGAAACACTGCTTTTCTAGACAAGTACGTTAACGAGGACAGAACTGGTGACATTTTTTCCAAATAATCATTAGAAAAAAAGAAGTTGTCCTACGACCTTTTGTTAACTAACGATCCTCCCAAAATGTCAGATTTCCGCAACAGCTTCGATACACAGTGGGACTAATTATTCAAGTGGAAAAGCAAAAAAATCTCGCTTTCTACGAACCAAATGGGTCCGTGGCATCCGTTCTGGATGTTGTGCTGGATGAGGGGGGGCGCCACGTCCGTGCAAAGGTAATGATGGGCGTCTGCTGTCAGTCGGAAGTATCCATCGATCAACGACGTAAACGATAAGGCCTCGTCGTGCGAGGACAGTTTCAATTCCTGAACCAGAAAAAGGTATTTTAGTCCAGAATTCTTACAGTTCGGTTCAAATGTTTCAGGAATCTTATAATACCTAGCAATTTTGACACAAAGCTGTTTAAAAAATCGTCCAGAAAGCTGTGACAGAAAACCACAGACATTTAGGAAGGCGACACCGATCACCCTCTACCCTCCCCACTCATTACCGGCTGGAAATCTCCACTTTCCAGCGTTTAATTGCACTGTAACCCTACGAGAGATCTGGAATGCAAACCCTTGTGCCAGAAATTCAGGACCGGGGCGGTCACATCGGATTTAAAGCCAAGGGCCCTCTGACAGCATCTTTCCAAATTCCTACAGAACAATCATAGAACTGTCAGGGTTGGAAGGGACTTTAAAGATCATCTAGTTCCAACCGCGCTCACCCACTTGCTGCTCTTCTTACGAGCGCCGAGGGCAGCGTATTTAACTCCTCGAGGAGGCTGTCACCTGTCGTCCAAAAATTACTGCTTCCCACAGGAGCAAAAGGCACCCAAGGTTTGGTTCTTACCATTCTTTTGTTATCCTGCTTGTTAATGCAAACTGTAGACTCCTTGATGACGATGTGGGTGATTTCAGGAAAATAGGAAAAATTGTTCCAGAAGTCTCTCTTGTGTTTTTCTTCATCCTTTTTGTTTTTGCCATCGGACTTCTTCTTCTCCTTCTCTGTCTGTACAGACTGCAAATATATTTTGGATGAAAGTATATGCATAAACACGCATTCATTCTATTTTTTAGTGTTTCATGCTAAAACAAAAACTCATGCCAAATTAATCCAGGTACTTTATTCTCGAATGCTTTTTGCTCTGAATTGTTACTTCATTTACAGGTGCAGTGTGTCAGTACTGCAAGGATATACTTTGCATTTCTTGCAAGCTTTTCTGCTCAAGTATCAGTTCTTGCTTCCCTCCCTCTCATTAATATTATAATTTAAAACAGAAATTCTCCATCAGAGATAGAGCTAGTTAGGATGTATCTCAATGGAGTGAAGCAAGATGCTTTCTACGTTACAAAAGAGTGTTCTCCGTAGGGTTCTCGTGGGGAACTGAGGCAGGTCTGTTTGTTTAAGCATTTTATGTGGTGGAAAAAAAATGCAGAGTATGCCACAACCCATTCAAACCTGGAGCATATTTTACAGAAGAGGTTAAGCAAAGTGACCTCAATTAGCAGCACTGAAACAAGGAGTAACATAAAAAAAAATACTGCTGAGGTGAGAAAGCTTTAGCTTTAATGTCGCTGGGGTTTTTTTTGATTTATTTACGCAACGGCAGCTGGGTGTACAGAAACAGCAGACTTCGACATCAAAACAACAAGGGCCTCCACAGACATTAATCTCCCAGGACTTGTGTCTTGGTCTGTCCACAGTCTTCGATTTCCCTGGCGAGCAGGTTGCCCACAAGGCTGTGCAGCATCCAACCTTGGAAGTCTGCAAGACCAGAACAGACAAAGCCCCGAGCAACCTGGTCTCATCCCAAAGCTAAACCTGACCGGTCCCTTCCAACCTGCACGATTCCATAATCCTATGAAAGAAGCCTTTGCAGTAAGAAGCCGATCTGCAGCGTCTGAAGATCACGACCATGTTTTAGCAGCTGTTATGCCCCCACGAACAATCCTCCAATTCCCATTTATCAAGGGATACTCACATTCGGCTTGAGCCTCCACTGAATTCCGTTGTTTCCCGTTACGATGACTTCGTAGAGGGGGAGGATCTCGTAGTCTCCACGATTAAATCCGTTTACTTCAGTTTCAGATGAAATCAGCAAAAACGAAGTCTCAAAAATCTCCGCTCCATAATGTTTGGTCAAGGTCTCCATTGTTGACAGGTATTTAACTTTCAGATCACGTGGAGACACGCTGCTGTCGCAAATGGTTTTGTTGTTAAACTCTTTAAGGAAATGCTTGAAAACGTTATTTATCCGAATCCTAGTTAAGAAATTCCTCTGCCTGATTGTCTTGTTCAAAGTTTCGGGAATATAATGTTTATAGCTAGGAGGAAAAACAATGAGACGAGTTAATACTGTTGTCTCCTAAACTTTTAACTCCATTACTTTGAAAGTAATCTATAGAAAACAAGACGCAGTACACCTCTGCAGCAGTGGTTTAGTTACATCATTAACAGCCAAGAGCCATTCAAGTAATAACCTGATCCAGAAGCTTTTTAGTCAGACGAATACAGCCTATTCAAATCGGTAACACATTGAACAAATCAAGATTTTATTCTAATAGTTTTCTGATTAAGTTGTCACCTAATGACAGCGCCGGTTCTGAACCTAACCCAGAACCCTGAAGTTACAGCAAGTCAACCAGTACCTAACACATCACTGCCTGCACTAGATGCACAGATTTCAAATACTCTCCAGGTAAGAAAAAACATCAGGTTTTGTAATACTTACCCCTGTTGACAAGACTAGGAAACCTAACTTACGCACAGTAGCTTTGGAGCCTGTAACTCCTGTACAGTCAGGAAGGTAAAATGCTCAAAATCCCTTCCGGAGGAAAAGCACAGCAGCCTCCACAGTGACAGATTAGTTATCCCAGCTCACCTGATATCTTTGGGAAGCTCTGGAAGCTTCACATCTTTCTTGATGGCGTAGTGAGAGATTGCAAGGACAGCCATCCCCAGGCACTCGTTTTCAATTTCATGAACCTCTTGATCATTTTTAGGATCACGAATTGGTGCCAGGCCTTTCACTAAGTCATACTGACCCTTAACAGGAAGCAGAAAAAAAAAAAGATCAGATCTGTTATTTGTTATAATTTATCTATCAACAAGCAATATGTCACAAGATCACAGGCTCTCCTTGAGCAAGAGGAGTCACCCAAAGCCAAAAGTCAGGCCAGGAAGGGGCA